GAACCTCGCGTTCGTACTTCAGACGAACCTCGCGTTCGTACTTCAGACGAACCTCGCGTTCGTACTTCAGACGAACCTCGCGTTCGTACTTCAGACGAACCTCGCGTTCGTACTTCAGACGAACCTCGCGTTCGTACTTCAGACGAACCTCGCGTTCGTACTTCAGACGAACCTCGCGTTCGTACTTCAGACGAACCTCGCGTTCGTACTTCAGACGAACCTCGCGTTCGTACTTCAGACGAACCTCGCGTTCGTACTTCAGACGAACCTCGCGTTCGTACTTCAGACGAACCTCGCGTTCGTACTTCAGACGAACCTCGCGTTCGTACTTCAGACGAACCTCGCGTTCGTACTTCAGACGAACCTCGCGTTCGTACTTCAGACGAACCTCGCGTTCGTACTTCAGACGAACCTCGCGTTCGTACTTCAGACGAACCTCGCGTTCGTACTTCAGACGAACCTCGCGTTCGTACTTCAGACGAACCTCGCGTTCGTACTTCAGACGAACCTCGCGTTCGTACTTCAGACGAACCTCGCGTTCGTACTTCAGACGAACCTCGCGTTCGTACTTCAGACGAACCTCGCGTTCGTACTTCAGACGAACCTCGCGTTCGTACTTCAGACGAACCTCGCGTTCGTACTTCAGACGAACCTCGCGTTCGTACTTCAGACGAACCTCGCGTTCGTACTTCAGACGAACCTCGCGTTCGTACTTCAGACGAACCTCGCGTTCGTACTTCAGACGAACCTCGCGTTCGTACTTCAGACGAACCTCGCGTTCGTACTTCAGACGAACCTCGCGTTCGTACTTCAGACGAACCTCGCGTTCGTACTTCAGACGAACCTCGCGTTCGTACTTCAGACGAACCTCGCGTTCGTACTTCAGACGAACCTCGCGTTCGTACTTCAGACGAACCTCGCGTTCGTACTTCAGACGAACCTCGCGTTCGTACTTCAGACGAACCTCGCGTTCGTACTTCAGACGAACCTCGCGTTCGTACTTCAGACGAACCTCGCGTTCGTACTTCAGACGAACCTCGCGTTCGTACTTCAGACGAACCTCGCGTTCGTACTTCAGACGAACCTCGCGTTCGTACTTCAGACGAACCTCGCGTTCGTACTTCAGACGAACCTCGCGTTCGTACTTCAGACGAACCTCGCGTTCGTACTTCAGACGAACCTCGCGTTCGTACTTCAGACGAACCTCGCGTTCGTACTTCAGACGAACCTCGCGTTCGTACTTCAGACGAACCTCGCGTTCGTACTTCAGACGAACCTCGCGTTCGTACTTCAGACGAACCTCGCGTTCGTACTTCAGACGAACCTCGCGTTCGTACTTCAGACGAACCTCGCGTTCGTACTTCAGACGAACCTCGCGTTCGTACTTCAGACGAACCTCGCGTTCGTACTTCAGACGAACCTCGCGTTCGTACTTCAGACGAACCTCGCGTTCGTACTTCAGACGAACCTCGCGTTCGTACTTCAGACGAACCTCGCGTTCGTACTTCAGACGAACCTCGCGTTCGTACTTCAGACGAACCTCGCGTTCGTACTTCAGACGAACCTCGCGTTCGTACTTCAGACGAACCTCGCGTTCGTACTTCAGACGAACCTCGCGTTCGTACTTCAGACGAACCTCGCGTTCGTACTTCAGACGAACCTCGCGTTCGTACTTCAGACGAACCTCGCGTTCGTACTTCAGACGAACCTCGCGTTCGTACTTCAGACGAACCTCGCGTTCGTACTTCAGACGAACCTCGCGTTCGTACTTCAGACGAACCTCGCGTTCGTACTTCAGACGAACCTCGCGTTCGTACTTCAGACGAACCTCGCGTTCGTACTTCAGACGAACCTCGCGTTCGTACTTCAGACGAACCTCGCGTTCGTACTTCAGACGAACCTCGCGTTCGTACTTCAGACGAACCTCGCGTTCGTACTTCAGACGAACCTCGCGTTCGTACTTCAGACGAACCTCGCGTTCGTACTTCAGACGAACCTCGCGTTCGTACTTCAGACGAACCTCGCGTTCGTACTTCAGACGAACCTCGCGTTCGTACTTCAGACGAACCTCGCGTTCGTACTTCAGACGAACCTCGCGTTCGTACTTCAGACGAACCTCGCGTTCGTACTTCAGACGAACCTCGCGTTCGTACTTCAGACGAACCTCGCGTTCGTACTTCAGACGAACCTCGCGTTCGTACTTCAGACGAACCTCGCGTTCGTACTTCAGACGAACCTCGCGTTCGTACTTCAGACGAACCTCGCGTTCGTACTTTGTTACATTATGTTTGGTTTTGACCTCACTAAGGAGGACCAGTTGAAAATAGACATGTACTGATCACATTGCATGTAATTTTCATGCTGCACATCCATGATTGATCTATGTCGTTTGATTGTATTGGTATATGTGACCATTGATGGGTCGAGTCACGATAAATGTGACGAAGGCCGCTTTGATCCTATATTGATATAGTCAATGGACGAGATTGTTCGGAAATACCATTTCAGTGATAGCAATTTTTGAGCTCATAAGGTTATACACAGTTTAAGGAATCATATGGTGCCCAAGTGGGAGATTGTTGGATTTAATCTAATAAATCTATTTGTGGGCACATATGATTAATCAATATGTATTGCTATCTTTCAGGATAACCCACTAAAGTGATCAATTAAGTTGGGTTAATTTGGTATTTAAATAAGTCATGGGGTTATATGTGCAGATACCAGGTTGTAATTGTAATTTATTGAGGGGCTAAATTGCAAAAGTACAACATCTATAAATAAGGGGTTATGGTCCCTAACCTAGGGTTACATTCTCTAATTCTCTACACCCCCATCTAGCTAGAGAAATTCGGTTTTAGAGAGAACCCTAAGGTTAGAAGATCCAACACCCAAAATCAAGATCAATCTATGGATTCAGGTATAAGCTTCCGCTCTCTTTTGATTTTGTTAATCTCTTTGAATTAATCATGGCTATATGGTTTTAGATCTCAAGTTTTATGATGTAGATCTAACAATTAATCCTAGTCCAAATCCTACAACGAGAAGGTAAATTTTAATTGAAGATACAACTGAGAGGATAATACGCAATTTACCAACCCAAAAAAAAAACCTATAGCCCTATAGATCTCTCAATCATTATGTTCTCATTATCTTGAAATTTATGTGTAAGCCACGTGATAATAAAATTAGGTTTTCTGTTAACGATATCACTCTAATAATTTTTTGTGTATATTTTAAATCTAGATATATTTTGTAATCTATTCAGAAAAAGGAAGTTTTGTCAAAATTTTTGAGGAGGGGATGAGGAGAAGCAAGACAAGGCTCCAACTCCACACCCAGAATCCTACATCCAACGTGCGGCGAGCAATAAGATGGGATTTTCGCTACTCTCTCTCTCTCTCTTTTTCTGTCTGTGTTCCCCCTTCAATTTTTGCTTTGCTCATCTCCTTCATCCTTCACAATCCAAACCCCGAGAGGCCCAAAAATGGCGAGCTCAATCACTCTCATGACATCCTCCTCCACCTCCAGACTCCTCTCCGAGAAAACTCATCTCCCCATTCCCCTCCCTAAACCCTCCCTCAGCCTCCCTCATCTCCCCAAACCCTAGCTGTCACTTGGTCTATTTTGTTCTTGTGTGTGCTATTGTTTTGGCTATTCGAGGCTTCGAATTCAACCTCTTCGAATTCAACCTCACTCTTCCCGCCATCGCCGTCGAGTTCCTCCTCCTTATGGTCTCCCTCGACAAGATCTACTTCACCCCGCTGGGCAAGTTCATGGACGAGAGGGACGCGACCATCCGAGCTAAGCTTGGGGACGTCAAGGACACGTCGGCGGAGGTGAAGCAGCTGGTCAGTTCGAGTTGACCCGTTTATGACCCGACCCATATAATTCAACCCACACCCATTATAAACGGGTCGGGTCGGGTTATAGTTTACCACCCTTGGCTTTTATCCAGTTATTCGTAGTCCGAGTCCTACAACGAGAAGGAAAAGCGCGACTATGTATACCCCCTCCTCCTGCCTCCCGCTCTCTCATAAACAAAATCGTTTTCTTTTTCTTAATCCTACAACGAGAAGGAAAAGCGTGACTATGTATACCCCCTCCTCCTGCCTCCGCTCTCTCATAAACAAAATCGTTTTATTTTTCTTCTGATCTCTCTTTCTCTTCCAAAAAACTTAGGGTTAGGGTCCGCGAGGAACAAGTTTGTCGTTGAAAGTTGAGATTTCCTCGCCGTAGTGTGTTGGCGAGGAAAAAACTTTGGTCACCATTTCCTCGCGGTAAGGTGGTCAAGAAAAGTTTCTGCGAGGAATAATATAATTTCTCACGAAATCCTTTTTGCGATGAATATATTCTTTTCTCGTTGTTACTCTTTAGCCTCGATATTTTTCCTCACCTAATCTCATGCCTTTTTCATCGCTAAACTACAGTTTCCTCGCCAATGATATGTGAATAATATTTAATTTATATATAATAAAAGTTCTAAAAAAATTATTTTCGTCGTTGTAAGTACCTTTCAACGAGGAAATTGTTCCTCACCAAAGGTAAATCATTAACGAGGAAATTGATTTTCTTCATTATATGTATCTTTTTCTCGTGGAAACAGTTCCTCAGTAAAGGGACTCAAAGACGAGGAAATTTAAATTTGTCGTTGTAGGTTGTACCTCATATTCCTCGCCAAAGAAATTCAATTATGAGAAAATTTACATTTGTCGATATAGGTTATATGGTCTATAGCGAGGAAAATTACTTTTGTCGTTATAGGTTGTATCACTATAGCGAGGAAATATGTTTTGGTCGACGTAAGCAGTATACTCTATAACGAGGAAATATTCTTTTGACGACATAAGTATGTGACCTATTACGAGGAAACATATTTTCGTCACCTTAGGTTGTAGGGTCTATTTTGAGGAAATTTACTTTCATCGACCTAAATTTATAGCGAGAAAACTTATAATGAGGAAATTTTATTTCATCAATAATAATGCTATTACGAGAAAAACACAAAATATAAATAATTATCATCAATTGTCACCACAGTACATCAAAACAATTAAAATAAATAAAGCAAGAAAGGTACTACCATAAGTAACAATACTAGTCTAAAGCAATAACAAATGCAACACGATCAAAGAAACATTTCTCCAAGTTAAGTTCACTAAGAATACTAAGCTGATGGATGTTGCCTGGAAAAATTAGCCATAAACTCCTCAAACTTTTTGGCTTGCTCCTCCAATATTTAGATTACCTCATTTTGCACATCGATCTTCTGTTGTTGAGTTCCTACAAGTTGTTGGGTCTCTTGAAGCTGTTCTTGCAACTCTTTATTCTTTTCAGACATTTCACTCATTGAAGAACGAGAGAACCTTAATGGTGGTGGTCTAGGGCCAAAACCACAGCCCTTAATGTAGCCTGATTTGACTTTGAGAACTTTTGCACAAATTTCCTCATCTGTCATTGTTCGAGTTCCATCAGGTTGAGTGGTATCTGCTCGCATCTTTATCATTTGATCCTATAAGTAAAAAAATATATATCCAGTTCAATCATATGCAACTTCTTAATTACAACCTAATCAATATAATCCTCTTTAGAACAATAATATCAATTTCACCTATATTCTTAAAATATTATAAAAGCATGCATCATTGACACGTTACTTACCCATTTTTCCTTTGCTCCCAAGTCCCATCCTTTTTTTGTACTTCTATACTCTGTTTCAAAACGATCAATTGCACCTTGCATCTCTCCGGTCTGTGTTGCCTATTGCATTCAAACATGTTTTCATTTTTAGCATATATATATGTACACAATTAAGTTACAAATTTATAAGCAAAACTAAAAAGTGTCTTACAATTTGCTCTTGGTGTGACATAAATGATTTTGACCCAGCTTTGTGGTGATATGTCAACTTTGACCTATTAAGAACATTCTTCTCTGAGCGAATCTAAAATTATTAAGACATACAATTAGAAAGAAGTAAATGAAAAAAGAAAAAATGTAATGCGTGGAGAAAAATAAAAAAGATATTGTACCTTAAACTTTTCACTAGAAAAATGAGTGCAAAGAAACTCCCATTCTTCCTGAGTCTTGAAGGCTTCATGTTTGTTTTGAATTGCCTCCTCAATTGTTGAAAACTGCTCAAAATGTTTCTTTAACTTATAACGAAAATTACAATATACGGTCTGACATGTTGTAATTACATATCTCTGGACCCAAGGGAGCGACATATCAAATTCAAATTTATTCTGCACAGGCATAATTTCATGTCAAACTAAATATAACAAATCAAAGCAACCAATATAATGCCTTTAGCAAAACAAATCATCACTAACCTGCATTCTTTTGATCAAGTTCTCCACATCTGCTTTTTCAATCTTCTTCCATTTTTCCACATTCAGTGGGGCGTAGTTTCGAATTGTGTAACCAATTTCATTTGCAAACATCTCAGCATAAGGGCCAGTAGGTCTACCATTTTCTTCAGTCAGAGTCACAGGTATTTTAGAATTCAATTGGGAGAAGACCTTATCTGCATTCACTCCTCTTGTCTTCCCTCGCACCTTTTTGGTTGTACCTTTGACATAATTTTTATTAAGAACATAACACATACGTATATTTAATTCTTAAAATATTTGTATATAATGTTTTGTATACCTGAAGGAGGCTCCTGATTAATATCTGACATCACATTATCATTTCGCTCTTCAACTATGGTGTTTACCACTGGCTGATCATTAACACTTTGTTGCTGAAGACGTGCACTAACTCTAATCCCTGTCATTCGAGTTTGTAGTTTAGGTATACCCTTGTAATTTGCAATTGATGAAAATGAAATTCAATTCAGCTTCTCTACACCTTTTAGAGGAAAATAATTCAATTCTGCTCAATTCAACTGAATTCAGCTCAATTCAACACCACTTACCAGTAGTAGTTCGTTCTGTGGTGACAACAGTACTACTAGAATTCAGTCCATCTGCTACAGAATTTTGGCATTCTTGATTGGAAGTTTGCAGACGAGTACGTTTTGTACCTATTAGCATACACACTTGTTAGATAAGTAAAAACTAACAGTACTTAAATATTCTAGCAGTAAAATGAAGATTGCATATTTACTCGGATTAGAACCAGATCCATTCCCTGTAGAATTCACGTATGGCAGATAACTAGTTGCTGCATAAGAACGTTTCTTTTTCAATAATTCTGCATGTGATTGATTACTTGGTGCATTACCTGTTGTTACATAAACGTTAAATTGATAATAATATTCTAATCAACCAAGTGAATGAATCATGAATTATAAGAGAAATATGCACTACTTACCAGAAGTAGAACTCTGAACGGTAGGCATTTTGTTACGGTGCATCCTTTTTCAGTTGCAAATAAATATTGTATAGTTCTCTGTCACACTTTATACCATTTGCTAACTGGCACTGGAAAATATGGGAATATTACATGTGAAAAAAGTGCCTTCTGGAAAATATGGGAATATTACATTGAGTTTCTTTTTCAGAAGAACAAAACAATTTTCATTTAAAAAATTTTTTTAGTGCAGTTTCATGATCTTTCAACAAACTATAGCAATTTCCCATGGCACACCTACATCACCATTTAGCAAATAAATCATGAAGCCATAATAAAAAGTGTACAGCAGAACACAACAAATAGAGAAAAACATATAAGGAGAACCAAGTGTAAACATCACCACTTCTAGGAACAACCACATTGAAATATTAATGAGAAACAAGCATAACTGCAGCAAGGAGAAGTGTGCTATGTACACGATTTAAAACTCTCACTTAAATTCAACATTTTTTGTCAAAAAGATCCAATTATGAAGTGAATCACTAGTTTACTACTGAGTCATCATTCAAGAATACATATAAATGCACCTAAAGTAAAAACATAATAGAATTTTGGCTCTGATAAACTGTGATAAAAAACTGTAACCTTTATCCTAAGTACTTATGTTTAACAGATTACATAAGATGGTCAAATATAAGTTGATTCCTAGGAACACCGTCATCCCCACCAAGAAATCTCAAGTCTTTACCACTTACCAAGATCAACAGACTACCGTCTCTATTCAGGTATTCAACTTGCCATCAAATACAATTCATTAGCAACGTTCATATTCATCAGCAAATAATGACGTATCGTGTCATGTTCTAGGTTTTCAAAGGTGAGAGGAGTCTAACTAAAGACTGCAGGTTGTTGGGGAAGTTTGATCTGTCTGGAATCCCTCCAGCACCCAGGTTTGTATCCCTAAGTTCAATCTAACTTGAGCTTGAATAGGTTTTATGTGTTAATTCTGATTCACCATAATAAAAACAGGGGCACTCCTCAAATTGAGGTCACCTTTGAGGTCGACGCCAACGGCATCCTCAACGTAAAAGCTGAAGACAAGGGCACAGGAAAATCCGAAAAGATAACCATCACCAATGAAAAGGGCCGCCTGAGTCAAGAAGAGATTGACCGAATGGTTCGCGAGGCAGAGGAGTTCGCCGAAGAGGACAGGAAGATCAAGGAGAAGATTGATGCCCGCAACCAATTGGAGACCTACGTGTACAACATGAAGAACACGATCAGCGACAAGGAGTTGTCCAAAACTTGTTTCATAAGGTTTTGTTTAGGGTTAGCTCAGTAACTGCGAGGAGGGTTTTGAATTTGGCTTTGGATGATGGGGTTTCATGTGTGTTGGCCATCAGGCTGGTTTGTGGTAAGGGGATGAATTGCAGCAAGGGAGGACATTTCCAGTGCAAGAGATATGTTTGCTCCTATTTCATGACTGTATATGATGTGTGTATGAATCATATAATAGGTATGCATAGTAACAAACACAGATGGTCGTAACCTTCAACCTACATACCATGCTTGAGGGGATAATCGGTCAGTTGAAATAAGATCTTGAGCAAGATAGCTTAACTTCATTTCCTCCTTCAAATGCTACCAAGGTAGACAAAAGTTAACTGTTAGGTATGAAATTTTATATCACATAAATAAGAGTAACTAACCGAAGACTCCAGCTGCAGTCGAAAAATTAAAAAACCTATTGTCACAACAAAAAAATAAGTCTTCCAATCTGTTCCCGGTAAATGGGTAAAGGGCACATACAAAGCATTGGTTGAATAGCAAACTTTACAGTTTTTTGTTTGGTGGCAAAAGTATCACTGCCTAATCATACAAGCTAAACGACAGTATAAACCAAGGAATATGTTCGAGTTAGAAAAATCTTGAAAAGAAGAATATAAGAAAAGAGAACATAAGCAGACAAAGTAGAAACAATGAAACTATGTGCTACGAGGAAAAAGGGGAACATGAAGAAAAGTATCAGTTAGCATCATCAACTGGATAGAGGAGATAATGATGATGGTAGTATTCGTGCAACTGTATGTGCACCTCAGCTTCAACTCAGAACCCCATCAATCTACATAATTATTTATTATAAACAGTCCATAAACCATGTTCCAAGTATTAGCAAGGAATCTGCTCAAATAACTTATGCTTCCCAAGGAAACCATAAGAAAACGGGATGCTTCTGATGCAGAGGCAGACATCTCATCAGGCATTCCACTTTCTCATGCATTACCTTAGAACTTGAAATCCTACAACCATCCTAAGTACAATAATTTATGAAGCATGTCTATTGTTCCACAAAATTTATGTCATTAAATCTCTACGAATTAATTTCGCATTTAAAAATAAAACATTCCTCCAAGATGTTTGAAATGCACAAGCTCCATGGTTTCCTACACAAGTTGGTAGAGAAGGTCTTGAATGTCACAGCAAACAAATTTAAATAGAACTAGAGCATTAATTAAAGGTTTCAGCCAACACAACCAAAGTTGAGGAAGCTTCAATGATTAAAGGTTTTCATCCAAGGGTCCGGATTAGCTGGTTATGAGTGTGACGTTGCTGAGGGAAGCAGATAGATACAAAGATTTGAGACTTATAAAGAGAACTTCAACATAATTAAGGAGTGCAAGAAGACAGGTGAGGCCAATATTCACCTATATGTGATGGAAAATATAACAGTAAAATTATAGCTACATTTACCAAATTATGTCAAACTAAAACATCCCGCACAAATCAAAAAAAGAACATTAAAATTATGATATAAACTAATCATTATCCTCATCATCACTTGAAATGATTGGTTCTTCATCACCATCTTCCGGACCATCTTCTTCTTCAGTATCATCATTTATCAAATTATCTTCACTACCATCATTCATCCAATCATCGTTCACAACCTCTGAAGCAACAATTTCTGGGTCAATATCATTAAGATGCAATTCTGGAGTTTCAAGGCCCTCTTCTTGAACGAACCAGTGAACATCATTAAACTCGTCTTGTTGATAAGCATCATTTGTCACAGGATCTACATCATCCTCAACTATCACTCCACTTGTATCCTCGACCTCCGGAACATCCCACACGTTTCTCAATTGCACCTTTTGTACAACTTTCCAGGGTGAACCCAACTTACAGTCATCGAGATAAAACACTTGTTGGGCTTCCATAGCAAGTATGAATGGTTCATCATCATACCACGTAGAGCTTGTATTAATGCTAGTAAGATTATAATCATACCGTATCATTCTTCTCCTTTCGTCTCTACTTGATTCGTCGGTGTTGAACCATTTACACTTGAATAAGAAAACTTGATTCATATCTAAGTACGTTAACTTCACAATACTTAGCAAAACACCATAATAATCATGACTTCCGCCAATAAAAACTCCAGGGACATACACCCCACTATTTTGAGTTGTCCGATGATCATCAAGATCTTTTGTATGATATCTAACTCCATCCACGATACAACCAGTGTACGTATGAACACGTAAATCTGGTTTACATGCTAGACAATAAAGCTTCTCATCAGTTGCATCCATCAATCCATTTTCTCTCTTTTTAATCATCTACGAATAACAATTGAAACAAGAAAGTTAGCATAGTGGTCATATACAATAACTAACTACTCTTTAAAATTGTGTATGAACTTACTTTTTTTTCAAACCAATCAGGGAACTCATTTTCTTGTCTTTCATACAACTTATGGTTACTTGTTTGCCTTAACTCATCCTCATGTTCCCTACAGGTACAAATTAGATAATTCAATCTCTAATCTGAATTAAAAAAATTGAACTCAATACACACAAATGCAAAAAAGACACTTACTTGAGATAAGGTTTCACCTCGTCACAGTTGTATAGTACATACCAATGAGCTTTATTCACTTCCTTCCGGTCCAATAGTATATATTTTTTCCACAGAATGGACGAACTTTCTGAGAGAAAATCGATAAACCATCTACTACTTGGTCATCTTCTACATCGACATTTCGTTCTGCCCGATTGATACGGGTTTCAATCTCACGAAAATACATAGAACAAAATGTCACTGCTTCATTGACAATATATGCTTCTGCAATAGAACCTTCAGGTCGAGCTTTATTTGTAACATACTTTTTATATGTTCCTAAATTTCTCTCAATAGGATACATCCACCGATAGGTAACTGGACCACCAAGCAAAGCTTCACGAGGTAAATGGACTGCCAAGTGAACCATTACATCAAAAAAAGCCGGTGGAAAAATTCTCTCTAATTTGCACAATATTATAACAATCTCCTTCTCCATTCTTTCCAAGTCTGACACCTTTAAAGTTTTTGCACATATCTGTTGGAAAAAAATGGCCAGCTCAACAATTGCAGTGCACACATCCTTGTCCAAATATGAACGAATACCAACTGGGAGGAGGCGTTGAAGTAAAACATGGCAATCATGACTTTTTAAATTATGTATCTTCCCATCGACAATGTTCACATTTTTACAAATATTGGCAGCATACCCATCAGGAAATTTGACAACTTTGAGGAACTTACAAAACAGCCTACGGTATTCCAATTTCAAAACATATCTAGCATGAGGCTTCTTCAATTTATTCCCTTGACGTGTGAGATGCAATTCTTTTCTTATCTTCCTATCTGCCAAGTCCAAACGAGCCTTGTTGGTGCCTTTTGTTTTCCCATCTATATTCAACAAAGTACCAATGACACTATCACATATATTTTTTTCAACATGCATCACATCAATATTATGTCTCAACCTGAGCTTGGACCAATACTCTAACTCAAAAAGAATACTCTTTCTAGTCCAGTTTAGCTCATGAGGCTCACGGTGTCGCTTTAAATCAGGATTGTCAGGATGTTTTCTAGGCCTAGCTTTATAAACACGATCTAATTGCCGCAATATGTCATCCCCAGAAAATAATCTAGGAGGAGGACGATCTTCAACTAAACCGTTAAAATATTTACTCCTTCTCCACTCATGATCCTCAGGCAAATTTCGTCGAGCTCCCATAAAACATAATTTTCCTCTCAACCCCTCAGAAGTTACATCTTCGTTACAAACAGGACATGCTTTGTACCCTTTTGTGCTCCACCCAGATAAATTTCCGTAAGCAGGAAAATCATTTATAGTCCACAATACACATGCCCGCAAATTAAAATTTCTCCCAACAGAGGCATCAAAAGTTTCAACTCCAATATCCCACAATTCTTTTAATTCGTCTATTAATGGACGAAGATACACATCAATGTCTTTCCCAGGTGCTCGAGGACCAGGTATGAGTAATGACATCATTGAATACACTCCTTTCATGCATTTCCAAGGAGGCAGATTGTACGGCACTAGCATAACTGGCCACATACTATAACTAGTGCTCATGTTTCCAAATGGATTAAAACCATCTGTAGCAAGCCCCAACCTCACATTTCGATAATCTGCAGCAAAATCAGGATACTCTTGATCAAAGTGTTTCCACTCGGTAGAATCAGCTGGATGTCGTAGGAAACCCTCTTCATTTTGTCTTCTTTTTTTATGCCATTTCATTTCAGTCGCGGTATGTCTCGACATATACAACCTCCGAAGTCTCGGCTTCAATGGAAAATAACACAAGACTTTTTGTGGAACTTTCTTGCGTTTGCCATCACAAGACTTGTATCTCGGCTCCTTGCACACTGGACATTCATCCAGTTTCTTATTCTCTTTCCCATAAAACAGTGCACAGTCATACTTGCATGCATGTATGGATTCATACCCCAAGCCCAATTCTAGCAACATATTTTTGGCTTCATAGTTCGATGTTGGTATGGATGCACCTTTTGGATACGAGTCATTTAACAATTTCAGTAGATTTTTAAAACTTTTATTGCTCCAACGACCATCTATCTTGATCTGCATTAATTTTATAATAAAAGATAATGCAGAGAACTTTGTACAACCCGGGTACAGTTCTCGTTGAGCTTCATTAAACAAATAATCATATTTGTTAACATAAATATCGTTCTCATCATCTGTCTCCATACTTATAGCCCCTTGGACATCATTTAACATGTCCAACATCGCAGCATTATCATCATCATCATCATCGCTGTCACTTTCAAAATCCTCATACATTTGGTCGTCTGCGACATCAACAAAATCTTCCCCATGCTCAGTCCATGTCGTGTAATGTTGTGCAAACCCATTTACAAGTATATGTCTGCGTATCTCGGGTAGAGAAAGACACGGCAAGGCATTTTGACATTTAACACAGGGGCAACGCGTCTTATTTTCATGATCTAGGTGTTGTTTCGCAGCATCCAGAAATGTTTGTAAACCATTGGTGAAGTCAGGGTTGTGAAACCTATCTCTAACAAACATCCAACTTCTGTCCATCATGTACCTATAATAAAAAACAAGGGGTTCCCCATTGAGAAACAGTATGACCAATCATAAAAAAGATACATAACCAACACTTGTACCTATGATCTAACTTACATGTGGTTAATCGATAATTATAATATTTTTTTTTGTTAATTAAGTGATAAAAATGAGATATTAACGTTGATTATTGATTTATTGAGGTACACTTCAACAGCCATAGACAAAATCAAGCATAAAAGAACAAAAACAAAAGGAAAACAAAAGTTAAAACAAGTAACCAGATGCTATGGAAAAAAAAAGGAAAACAAAAGTCGAAATCAGCTAAGTATATGTCAAACTAAAACATCCCGCACAAATCAAAAAAATAACAGTAAAATTATGATATAAACTAATCACTATCATCATCATCACTTGAAATGAAGAATTTGAGGAGGAACTAAGATGTAAAAAGGAAGTCCATTGTTGTCTTAGGGGATTTTGCGATGGCTTTCAAGGGGACGCTTCAATTTCTGGTTGCGATGGGGGATCGATTCAAGCGTGAGAGGGCAAGATACAATGAGTTCTTCCAAATTTTCATGGATTTTAAGGATGTTGACAAAAGGTTAGTTAATCTTTAGTTACCTTCTTTTCACTATCTTTTTATGCGTTTTTAAAAAATGTCTTTTCTGTTCGTTGGGGTCTGATTATGTTCGATTGGTTTCAGAGTTGATGGAGATGAGATTATTCGAAGAGCAGAGGAATTATTCGATGGAGATGAGATTATGATGATGGGTTTTTACAACTTGATGCTCGATACCAGGAGAAAAAGTAGGAAGCTGGATGATTTGGGAAAGGTTTTCAATCGTGTCCTAGAAATGGTAAAATTCAACTCTTTTCTCCGGGCTTTATTACTCATATTTCCATTGCCTAATCACTGTCATGCGACCTGTACGCACGCAGATCATAGAATCTGTGGTTTATTTGTGCAAGTCTGATGGTAGATTCTTTTATTATGCAATAAACCCTAGACGTCCAAAGGTTCTGATCACTTCCCGAAATTATAGTTTAGTCACTTCGATTTAAGATTAGATCCTCTCCCATTTGTAAAACAATCAAGATTTCATTATAGGCTAGATACTTACCATCATTCAAGGATCCAAGACTGCTTGCAGGAGTGAGGAGGAAAAAAAGGATGAAGAATTTGAGTTATTTTCTTAAGAATTGATGAAAAAGGAAGTCCATCATTCAAACTGCACTAAGTGTATGTTTGTTTCATTATCCTTCATTTCTAATTGGTACTCTCCAGGAACAGTGAGAATCTACAAATAGCTCAATTACCTGTAACCCAATATACAGAGGCGTGGCTGACAATTTGGGGGCCCGATTATGAAATTTCAATCGGGGCCTCTTAATCAATCTTCAGACCTAATTCAAACGGATTATTGTCATATTGTTCTTTAGAATTTAACGTTAATGACCTGTGCTTTGTCTAAATTTCTGTGAAGGCTCTAGGATCTACCTACCCAGTAGATTTCACAGGAGTCATACATTTGCATAGGTAAATCCTTAAGGTGTGCTGCTATTGGGGCCCAACAGCTATAGTGCTTTGAATTTGTTAAGGCTTTAGAAAGCCAACCTCTAAAAAAGGAGAGGCACGAGCAATCCTCGGAACTCTTCAATTTGCGAACTCTAATGGCTGGCGGAGAACCAAGTTAGAAAGCAACTTCTTCAGTCTAGATTTTTATATTTGTATCAGTACAGCTTATCAGACAATCAAGTACTAGATGTGCAGTGTGCACATAGACTACAATTTGCTTTCACATAGAAATGTACTTTTCTATTAGATCTTCATGAGGCTCCATAATGTATATGATATTTTGATATTCTTGTCTGTGAGACAATATAATTGAGTCCCTTCAAAAGGAAACTATTTTAATTCAGGGGGTGTTGTAGATAGCCCACCTGAACTTTCTTAATTCAACTTAACCTCCTGAAATATAACTATGTCTCACACACTGATCTTTACTTTTTTCTCAATGACCCTTGATGTCGTTAACCCAAATGTGAAATGGCTCAAATACCCTTTGGGAAAAAACCAATTTTTAATTTTAGTTAAAAAACCCGGGCATTGAGAAAACACCCTGATTAATATTTGGGTAAAAGAGCGGGAGGGTTTTTTTAAACAAAAAATGAAAAAGGATAAAGGGTAATTTTTTTATGACTGAGGGCTATTTTGGTCTTTTTAGTCATGTGGTTGTCGCATGGTACTCTAAGACTTAATAACAGTGCTAACTTACTTTTGGGGGTTTAAGTAAGAAAAATTCATGGTGGTTATTTCAAACTGAAGAAGTTCAGGGAGATTTAGAGATTATCTACGGAACCCTTAAAATTGAGATGGATTAAGTCGAATTAAAATAGTTGACGAGGTTTTCTAAAATAACTCATTTTTACTTTTCTGTTTGAAAAATGTCATATCATGAGTTATGTTCCATCTAGACATATTTTGCATTTTAAATACACTCAACAATGGTTTGGCGAATCTTTTATTTATCTGTTTAACTATTGGTTTGTATCTCACTTAAGTCCTACAACACTTTATCGGCTGTGTTTATTTTGCAGGTAAGGGTTGGGGGTCTGATTGTGATGGATAATGTCCTATGGCACGGAAAAGTTGCTGATCCTCAAGTATGCCATTCTATGTATCTTGATAATGTGGTTCAGTTACTACTTCAGAAAACTGTTATTTATGTTAAGCCAGTATTTTATGCAGGTGACTGATCGAAAGACCATCAGCATTAGAAACTTCAATAAGAAACTTCTTGAGGATAAGCGAGTTAATATCAGTATGGTAGGTTTCCTTGTAGCATATTTTGGCCTTTTTTCACTTGTAATTGTTTTGAAGCAAAAATAAACAATTGGAAACTCATAGGTACCAATTGGGGACGGCATGACAATATGTCGCAAAGTATTACACGGTTCTTCAAGATCCTGACGCTAATAACAGGCTATCAGTCTATCAGTAGGCCAATAATCACAAACAATGGCCCAATACTTCAGTTTTTGACTAGATCCCAGGCTGGATGTAGTGTACAGAAATGCGATCGATGATCAGGCAGGTAAAGAACTGTGAGAAGTTTTTCAATCTACATAATTACTAACCAATTCACAATTTCATAAATAAACAAATAAATAAAGGAAACCCCTTAGAAGTTAGAAAAGTATACCTAACGGCGTTAGGGCGACTGCGGAGTTCAGGGGGTAGCTTGCGATCGTGACGGCGTCGACGACGAAAGCGAGGCGGTGGCCTTGCTGCCGCTGCTACTGCTTGAGATGGAACAAGAGATTTCTTTTTGGTTCCCTTGATTGAATCAAAGATCTGTTAATAGTTTCATAAATTAGATGCATAGCATAGAATTCACCCAAAATCAAACCCACAACTCGTCCCCACAAGCTTCAAGATAATTGACATTGACGAATCACAATGCGTTAAAATAACTCAAGTTTTTCAAAATTAGTTTCCAAATGCAATGGATTAAGGATTTCTTCTAACAGTTAGCAAAACTATAACAAAATCCGAATGTAAAAACCACAAAACTATTATAAATTCTTGTTACAATGCGATTTCTCGTCTAAATCAAATATTTGCTACTAACTTCATAAACAGATTCACTTAATAAAAATCGTCCAAAATAACTCAAAAATCCCTATTCAACTAGACAGTACAAATGTAATCCAAAGGTCAAAATTACAGCACTATCAATTACAAAGTAAATCCAAGAAAATGGTATGAAACATTTATTAACGAAAACCAAATCGGATCCAAACCTCTGTCCAAGAAAATGATATCAAAATCACAACACTATCAATTACTAAAACCTCTATTATAAAAAAAATCTTATTTTAAGTGATATGATTACTAATAAATACCTAGATTTCAAGCCACCGCATTTATTAACGAAAACCTAATCGGATCCAAACGAGACTCGACGGCGGATCCTGGATCCATGCCCGATACCAGAGGTTCCGGTGGACTTACCACACGTGATCTGCTGCTCCGCCGGCGAAACTATGATGTGGCGATGTCGGTTGGGTCTATCGGTACTCTCCTCCATCGCTTTCTCGAATTCAATGAGATCCGCGCCCAAATCTATGAGTAAGGTGAGCACTGACGACGGTTTAACGGAATGGCGACGGGGGCGAACGGCGGAGTTCGACTCGGAGCGCGCTTCTGCCTGCCGCCGCTTCGAAGAGAAAGAAGAAGAAGGAGGGCTCAGCGACGGGAGCTTTGGGGTTATTAATTTTGATCGATGGGAGATTTGGGGTTATTAATTTTGATATTGGACCGCTCTTTTATTTGAGTACCCGCTACTTGTTAGTTAAATTCCCACTAAAATTTTCCCCAATGAATAATGAGTATATTATTAATTCCTTACTGATTAGTTTTTTAACAAGGAAATGATTTCTCACAGAATAAAATATTAGATTATTTGTGACCACAATGCACAGAATTGATAGCGGGTTCAAATCTCCCAAAACTCACAGTTACTTTATTGTATACAAAATAAAAAACAAAGGTTTTTTCTATATTAATTAGATGCACAGAATTGATAGCGGATTGGAGATTTTTACAAGTCAAGATAATAATAAGGTTTAAAATACAAAATAAAAAACAAAGGTTTTTTCTATATTAATTAGATGCACAGAAGTGATAGCGGATTGGGGATTTTTACAAGTCAAGATAATAATAAGGTTTAAAATACCTAGATATCAGAAAGGGGGAGAGAAGCAACCACGATCTGGAAAGCGGCAGTCTTGAGGTGTGATCGGACAGACGCCCAAAGATCTGGAAATTGACGGTCTTGAGGCGTGATCGGAGATCAATTAAGACTTTCAGAGCGGAGCTTTGTTAGGTCGTGCGGAGGATCAGGGCTTTGTTGCGAGCGAGATCAATTAAGACTTTCAGAGCGGAGCTTTGTTAGGTCGTGCGGAGGATCAGGGCTTTGTTGCGAGCGTCCGGAGTTTTTTGGGCCGATCGTGCGGAGGGGATGAGGATGAGGTGAGAGCGGAGGGGTTTAATCAAAGGGAGAGCAGAGGTGATGAGGATGAGTTGATCAAAGCGGAGGGGTTTAATCGAGAGGGATAGCAGAGGTTAGAAGAGAAAGAAATTACCGCCTTCTTAATTTGTTTCCCGGTTTTATTTGGTCCCGTAAATTTGGTTTCCCAGCTTAATTTTAATAAAAATATTTATTTTTTCTTTTAATTTAATTAAGATATAATTAAATATCATTTAGCAACCAACTTTTTTTTAGTACCCGCCTACATTATTCATTCGCAAAACCGGCTCTTTTCTTTGAGTACCCGCCTACTTTTTACCCAAATTTAAACTAAAATTTTAGCCAACGAATAATGAGGATATTATTATTTTCTCGCTGATTGGTTTTTTTAACAAGGAAATGACTTCTCATAAAACAAAATTTTTTAGCGAGGAAGCCTTAAATTTGTCGCCATTGAATTTGGCGGGTTTTGCACATTTTTTCGCCAAACTAATAATGAAGAAACTATTATTTCCTCACAAATTGATTCTTTTAATGAGGAAAGGGTTCCTCGTAAAACAAAAAAATTAGTGAGGAAACCTTCAATTTGTTGTTAATAAATTTGGCGGGTGTTGCACGTTTTTCCGCCAAATTAATATTGAGGAAACTATAATTTCCTCGCTACTATTTTTTTTTTACGACAAAATGGTTCCTCGTAAAATAAAAACTTTTAGCGAGTAAACCTTAAATTTGTTGCTATTAAAATTGATGGGTTTTGCACAATTTTCCGTCAAACTAATAATGAGGAAACTATTATTTCATCGCTAATTGGTTTTTAAACGAGGAAACAGTTCCTCATAAAACAAAAATTTTAGCGAGGAAACCTTTAATCGCTAATTGGTTTTTAAACGAGGAAACAGTTCCTCATAAAACAAAAATTTTAGCGAGGAAACCTTTAATTTGTCGTCAATGAATTTGGCGGGTGTTGCAAATTTTTCCGCCAAATTAATAGTGACAAAACTATAATATCCTCACTAATAGGTTCTTTTTAACGCGGAAACGGTTCCTCGTAAAAACAAAAAACTTTTAGCGAGGAAGTCTTAAATTTGTCACCATTGAAATTAGCGGGTTTTTTCTTTCCCGCCAAACTAATAATGAGGAAACTATTATTTCCTCGCTAATTAATACTTTGATGAGGAAACTTTTCCTCACAGATTATGGATCTTCAGCGAGGAAATCATACTTTGTCGCTGCTACATTTGGCGGGTTTTCCTCTATCTTTCGCCAAAAGAACAGCGATGAAATTATTATTTCCTCGTTAAATGTGCATTTCGCGATGAAAAAGTTCATCACCAAAATCTCATATTTCCTCGTCAATAAAATAACTAGTTAGGAGACCAAATCATGATCATCTTTAATGAGGAACTAAAATTTTCATCGCAGAAAGTGGTCTGCTGTGAGGAAAATATATTCCTCGTAGAAGACCTACTGATATTTACCGAGGAAACAATATTTTCCTCGTCGAAAGTGATATTTGTTGAGGAAAATAATTTTCTCGAAAAAAAATTTGTCGCTAAAAGACATGTCTGTTGTAGTGTACCTCTATGATTTTGATGAACCTGGATACAATTGCTTAGAGCAATTATTAGACAATTATGTATGGCATCATAATTTGTTTGGCTTCTGCTTCAATGTACTTGATTTTGCGTGGATGTCAGGAGATACCAACGATCTGCAGTTTGAAAACTAGTGAAAGTTGATGTGATATCCTGAGTTTTGCTAAGTTTGGCACTAGAAATATGAGTCTATGGTATAGGGTTTTAATAGAATCCTGTTTAAAATGTGATGAAAAACACTATAGTATTAACACATGCGCGGTGGATGTGTTACAAGATGAAAAGGTCATCAATTACGATTTATTTGGGATAGTAATTCCTTTAAGAAGATGCTTTTAATATTTATTAATCAGGCTATATCGCTATCTTCAGACTGTGGCCTATCCTTTATAAAATTCTGATTCCTCTGTAAGTTGGTAGTGGTGATATGAGTTTCCATGGTAATGTTCTTGCATTGTGCTGTTTTGGATCTCGTTTTGTTTCTATGATATTCTTTTAACACACTATTACCATTAAAATATGTTCAAAGGGTGTGTGTTACGTACTAGATGGAATATCAGGGGTTGAAGTGTACATGTGATACTAATTATTTTATGAAATTTGGTATTGTCATTGAGTTATTTTTGCAACATTATATTTATTGATTGCAGCCTAACTAACAATATTCTTTTGTCCGTAGATGCATCAAAATCAGAATTGCAACCCTGAACGAAACATAACGCAAGAAAATCAGGACTCTCAAGCTGAAATTGACAAATCCAACATGACTGGCCTATATAAAAGTAAAGTACGCTCAGATAAGAAAAGAAAGCGAAATAACAGTAAGGACTCAGCCTCCACTCCAATGGATAACACTTCTCGAAAGTGCGGTTCCTCATCGAACAAAGAAACCCCGAGTTACAAGCTTCTGCGTGAGGTGATTTTCTGAATTTCTTGTTTAATTGTATTTGCAACTGTCTAGCCTGGGCTAACTGTTTGTTCTCTATAATGGCAGCCCACATCACTTCGTTCTAGCAACTCACCAGAGTTGAATGAACTGAATGGTTCTTGTTATTTAGCCGTTAAATGCAACATAAATACTATTCGGAAGATAAACGAATATGAGCAAACATTATTTGAATGCGAAGATGACATGTATGTATGCAACTCCTAACTATTGAAATGTTTCCTTCTATGTTGTGCATATGTGTGCTAAACCACTTACTGAACTTCATTCAGGTTTGAGCTTGATATGCTGGTGGAGAGAGTAAAAGCAACTACTAGAAAACTAGAGGAGGAAATAGAAAAGAATCCTGATGGACAAAACTTTATCAAACCGATAAAGCTAGAATCGACAACAAACTTTAACTGTAAGTATGACTGACATTGAATTACTAATACCAAATGAGTATACCTTTTGGTCTTTGATTTACATGTGGATCTCAACTATGTATTTCTTTTTCTTTTCAACAGCATCCAACTTGTGTTGTTTGTTGAACTTTTACAATTGTGGTGTCGCTAAAATCATAGATTCGATAAGGGAGGACCCCGCCACAGAATTACAGAGAATAAATGAAGATATGAAGCACTGGGCTGAGGTATTGTTGGAGCAGCGTGAAGGAGTGCGCAAAATTTGCAAGGATGTTTTTTCCGAGAACTATCCTAAAATGTATAACCGTGGCCGAGTTAGCTTGAAGCATCGAAGTTCAGATATCTCGAGCAGGAAGTCCAGACTGCTGCCATTCTGATGTGGATAAGTAATCCTCTTCTGTTTGGATATTGAGTTATATATGTGAATTTACACACTTAGTTTAGGTACGAAGTTTTCAAGAAGTGCATTTTGTTTTTGCTGGTCATACCCTTAAGCGTATAAGGTAGCCAATCTTATTTTCTGGAAGTGCCCTCACTGAATTGTAGCATAATATAGTGAAGAATTATGACAATGAATATAATATGGAACGCTATCCAATATTACATATACACCTGGACATATATGTTAATATGTCTCATCCCATTTTGGCTAACTGACATTGTTAAGAGATCAAAATGACTTGCATATTTAAACCAATAAATGTTATCATCAAGGAAAAAAAATTAGATACGTATAAACATAAGGTTTTGTTACTTGACTAAAATTTGAAAGCTACAAAAGAATATTTTTAGATCACAACTAATGTTTTGCCCAAAGGCTGAATTAGGAAAAATAGGGAGATCACTGAACAGATATATAAGAGATGAGTAGTCTCCTAAATTCTATACAATTGCAAACCAACCATTCATGCAAATTTTTTAATAGGCTGCTTCATCTTCTCATCTGCAGTGGAGCTCAATCGGTTGATGCATGAGGATGAACCAAGTCTTCTATGTTAGAGAATGCACTACTTCCAGCAATAATGTTATGATCAATTGTTTGCCTAAATTCTTCAATTCAAGTGTTAAAACTTTTAGTCAGTGTTTCTATGTGACCAAAGAAACTTATTCTTATTTACTACTTGTCTGTTTCAGTGCTAATGTTGGTTCTTCTGTGTATTGAACTTCTTCAAGCCTTCGCTTTTCCTCTATCTTCTAGCGGTATAACTCGAGTGCCTGTAGCCAAAATCGGCTTAGAACACATTATTTATTCTAGCTAAATCAAACGAGAAATTGAATTGGAAATTTGAGGATTTGATAACAAAGAAGATGTGGGTTTATGA